GTCAAACCAAAATATGGTTTCTTCAGTCAATCAAATCTATCAATGAGGTGCTCACTAGCGACTGGCCGTATTCAGGTAGGTAATTACCTAGGTTTTTAGTGGGAATTCGTGACCACTAGGGTGCAGCAGGTTGGGTTTGACGACAAATATCGATGACATTCGCTTGTGGTCGCGTCATATCATGAATTGGCAGAAGTCAGAATTCATGGACTGGCCAATGGATCGGGTCCCAGTGGCTTAATGAATCTATGAACTAGTTCTCCTTGTAACCGGAAGGTCCTGGAATTGAACCCCTGTGGTGAGTGCGTACTGATGAAGAGTCTCAAGCCAGTACGAAACAGCCATCTAGTACTCTCAGGTTTTCAACTGTTTCTTTAACCGATGTCAGCTCATGATGAAATCTCTACAAACTAATACTTGAAAATCCATAACACTTAATTTAAATCAGTCAGTCAGCCGCATAGGGAGGTGTAGTCTTCCTTACTGACTGGCTAGTGTCGGCGGGATGGAGAAAACCAATGAAGGCTGGAGACAATTGGTGGGTGGTATGACTCAAAATCGTTGTGAATGCCTTGCACAGATGCATTCACTCCTTGTGAGCGAGTTATCATTTCCAATCAAAGTAATTGTTCTTGCATATTACTATTATTTTTTTCTCTCAGCCACAATTCTGTTCATTCATTATATGTCGTTTGATGAATCTCATTTTTTACTCTCTTCTGTCGTTTTGTCTGTTACAAGGAGGGTAGTGTAGTACCTGGAACTCGTGCCCAACTTTGCAAAGTTCTATAATGAAAACAGCCAGTTATGCGGTCGATCAGTCAGTGTAGTGGTCAAATTTGACCGATAGAATTCAGTTTGTAACAAAAGAAGGGACTAGGTGCATAACATTAGTTACTTAGTGTGCAATTTAATATCTCTTATCGAAAACCAATTCCCTTTTTGTAAAAAATTTGTTTTTCACTATTTTTGTTTTTTTTTCTCTCCTCAGATCTATTTTTTCCATCAACAACCAATTCAACTACTACACAACGTAAAATACCTAAAGGTGAAGTACTCGAAGTGATTCAAACCCCGAAGGCGAAATATTTACGCATAAGTCGTACTGGAGATTTATTTATTGTCAAGACTAGTGGAGCGAACAGTACACCAGCGTCGACTACTGACGCTAATGCTAGTGCCAGTGCGAGTAGTGGTAGTACTCTACCTACTGCTGATAGTCAAGCGAATTGTACACCCAGTACAACTGATAGTCAAACACCTTCCACAGACCCTGTCAGTGTATCTGGCCAGAATTCATCCGCTCAATCTGGACAACAGTCTACAGTTATTAGTGGTAGTAGTACTGTGGGAATTGGCAACGCTGTCCCTTCATCATCGGCGTTCACAGTGAATCCTAACAATAACAATAATAATAATTCTACTGCAAATTATGAAAAACATCAGAATCCTCTGACACATCAGAAACGATCTTATTCAGATTCGAATACTGCCGCCTCTGGAGTATATCATTCACAAAATAAACCAGAAATGAATGTCTCAAATCATCAATCAATGCCATATGCAAATAACAATAATAGTAATAATCAACCTTTCAACTACTCCCAGTCGTATAATCGATCCGAGGCGAGTGTATTTCAACAGCCAACCAGTGTTACTGAAGCGTCGTCTACTGTTGCCTATACGTCGCCGAAACGTGCTCATTCATCGAATGAAACATTCGCCTCGGGTGATTTACGCGGTAAAGATTCGTCAAATTATCAAAATCAAATGATAAATCGACGTGATAATAATAGTAATAGTAATAATAATAATATGAAAAAGGATAACAATAGTAATACTAGTGGGAATAGTGGTATAACTTATCCTAATCATACATTCTCTTCCCAGGATCCTTTCCAATCACATTTACAACGTGGCAGTCAATCGGGAGAATTATCTTGGCCTTGTTCAACCTGTGGGCGTACGCTGGCTACTGGTTGTACTTGTCGTATGAATTCGCTGAACACCACCCCTTTAAGAAATATGACTAGCACTACTAGTACTACGAATGCTGGTATTTCTAATCCACCATCTTCAGTGAATACTGACACCAATGTCCAGTCGTCGGTGGCGGCGGCGGCCTCGTCGAGATTTAGATCTTTCAATGATACTCCACGTCAAGAGGCATTTCATCAATCCAATCCTATGAATAATCCGAAGAAGAATTTCCCATCAACTACAAATTATCAATCGAATGTTGTTAGTGTTCCGTATTATCAGTCACCGCAAAATGCTCCTCCCCAGTCGGCATCTTCATCTTCTTCTTCGTCGACAGCGCATCGACAGTTGCAACAACAACAACAACAACAGCATCAGTATTTACGTGCAGCTGAAGATATTGCACGTCAGTCAGCTTTGGCAGCTGCTGCCAATACCAGCAATAATCCAGTGAATGCTTATCAATCAATATATCAAAATCAATCAAGGCTGAATAGTGGTAATACTACTGATGCGAATATCAGTAGTAGTAATAGTAGTGCTAATAGTAATAATAGTCAGCAACAGCATGTCCAATTGCCTAGTCATAATCCGAATACTTTACAAAGTCATGTATCAATGATGCAAGATTATTTCTCGCAGTTAACAAATCAACGTCCACAACTCACTGCGGTTGCATCGTCGGCGGCAGTACCAGTAGGAGCGGCCGCCGCCGCTGCTGCCACCGGTTCGTTTGATTTACAACGATCTCCGTTCAGGGAACAGCAGCAGCAGCAACAACAACCATCGTTAGCACCACCAGCAACACCGTCGCATGCTGTAGCTGCAGCGATGCAACAATATCTAGCGCATAACAGTCAACAAACCGGTCACAGTCATCAGACTCCCACTCCTACTACTGCTAATAATAATAATAATAATAACCATGCTCAAACTGTTCAAGATAATAATAATTTAAGATTACAGTTTAATAATTCCGCTGTACAATATCAACAATTTCAGTTAGCCGCCGCTGCTAAAGAACAACAGCAACGTCTGCAACTGCAACAGCAGCAGCAACAACAACAACAACAACTATTATTACAACAACAACAGCAGCAGCAACAACAACAATTACAACTCCAACAGCAACAACAACAGCGTCAACAAGCTCAAAATATTGCTGCACATATTGATCGAAGTTCTACATCTGCCGCATCCGCCCCTTCATCATCGTCATCACATGCTGCTGCGGTATTCAATCACTTACATTCACAAGCTTTTCCGAATTTTCATTTTCCACAGTTTTAAAAAAATGTAATGTGCGCTGGAAATCAATTACCGAAATAATAATATCAACCCGGTTTTATTTTAGCGGATTTGATATATTGTTATATAAGTATCTCTTCAGTGGAATCGTTTTTCCCCCTCCCGCCGGCGTCGCCGCCGCCGCCGCTGTCTCTCCATACGACACCGTTGGTCAGTCGCAACGTGAACTCTTTCTCTCTTCAACAGGTTTTTTTGTTGTGTGTAAAGTTATACATACATACGATGTAACACATTTATTTGGTATGTGTGACAGAATTCTATTCACACCATTGATAAGTTGTAGTTGTGGGGTGGTGGTAAATCGCGTTTCGTTTGCTCCACTGTCTTGCAATCCTCTACGCGTGTGTGTGTGTGTGTGTACATAGTAGAAATAACCGAATTGCGATCTCATTTCTTATCATTTATTTTCTTTTCTTTTGTCTTGTCTTCAATTCAATGAAATATAATATGATTACCATTATTATTATTATTACTATTATTACTATTATTATTATTATTACTAATATTGTTATTCAACTGAAAGACGACACATTTAGACACATATGTATGTAAACTCTATTTTGTATGCGCAATAATCTATGCATATGTATGTAAGTATACAGTAACTCACCGTTGTATTAAATTAGGTGCTTTCATCTGTCCCGTCCATCCATTCATCGATTCCTCCAAGTCGCGAATCCTCCTTCCCCTTCCGCCTATCGTCCCGCATTGATTTAGAATGTTTCATCATTGTACTTTTGTGCGTTTGTTAATCTCACAAAAATGTGTACAGTAATTGCGTTTCTTTCTTCAAATATGAAACTTTTCACTCTTGTAAAGTTGTTTTGCTCCCCGCCTACCCACCCATGCCGACACAGCATCGTTATCACAACTCGTGTTGTGTTTGTTTCTTTCTCCTTCTTCTTCAGTTCGTTTGAGTCTGTGTCTGCTGTCTGTGCCTGCAACACCACTGTACTCTTCTATCTTGTCAACCTTTGAATCCTATTCCAAAGTCTGTCATAATTATCAAGTTTTGTAATGTCATCACATTCTTTAAAAAAAGTGCTTATATTTATTATTCATTCATCCATCCATCTATCAGACGTACTTTTTTTGTTCTGTTCGCCTTTTTTCTTTATTGAATGAGATGCTGAAAAATGAGGTGGGGAGCAAACAATTATTTGTCAATTATTTTATGAAAAATAATAATATTTACTTACTTAATTATTATCTATTTGTTTATTGATAATGACTGATAATGAGTGGTATTCATTCATATATCATTCATCCCTTTTCAACAACAACATCGTTGTCATCATCATCGTCAGCAGCAGCAGCAACCGAAACATCAGCATCACAATTTTCCTTCTTCCTTTTTTGTGGAGGATATAAATTACCACAGATACATATATACATTTGTGTGTGTCTGTGCGTGCGTGTGTCTGTGTAGGTAGGTAGACGAACAGACAGACAGACAGACACACTCATTCGTTTGATAAGTGAGTAGTATATTAGTGTTAGTAGTATGACGACGACAATGACGGTGATGGTGATAAGTTTACATTCAGACACACCTTGAATTCTCCGCTGTTGACTAACTATTTGAATAATGATCTTTACTCAATATTATTATTATTATTACTACCACTACTAATATGAATATTACTGCTACTACTATTATTATTATTACTATTACTTATGCAATCTGTTGTATACCTCTTCATTACTATTACTATTATTATTTGATAAAATAGAAATAATATTATTATGCATTTATACTTATATTACTTTTTGATTTGGTGTTATCTGTGTGTATGTGTGTGTGTCTGCGTGGGCGTGCGTATGTTTTAAACGGACTCCTTTCTAATGTTTTCGTAGATCGCAGAAACATGAAAAGGTTGACTGTTTTTTGATCATAGATGTCCACGATCTCTTTCTCACGTTAGGAGGTGGAATAATAAGGTAAGTAATGTTGACGTTAGGCGTGGAGTGTTGATTGGGCAAAGAGGGAAAATCAATCGACGAGGCTATATAGATTACATAGATTGAGATGGTTAGGTCACGACGTGCTGCGCATGCCTAACCATCGCCTCCCCCACCCCGACGGGCATTACTAGCTGGCTGATATAGGTGCAGGTTGGAAAAGAGTAAGTGGTGACATGGCAAACAAAAACATGGCATCAATCAATCCATGAAATCCTTGACAGTTAAACTGAATCAGTCAGGTAGGGAGATGTAGACTTCCGGGTTGGGGCCCACCCTCGGGACTCTAAGAATCAATGGCTGGAGGCAATAGGTGACATGGCTCAAAATCGTTGTCAATGGCTTACGCAGATGTATTCAGTCTCTTTAACCTTCATACTCCTTTCTACCATTACTCATTCTGTTTCACTCTTATACTTGTCAAAACTCTATTGATTCTCTTTATCACTCATCTTCTTGTCTACCTTTGTGTGCTATTTGGAACGTGGCAACTCGAACTGCTGCACTTCGGTGCCAAGTTCTATGTTGAATCCAGACAAACAGATCGCGGAAGGTAATAAATGCTGCTAAGCCACCTAAAGTCAGCCTTTCCCTGCTTCATTATGCTTTGTTAGCTAGTATATAGGAATTATTAGGTTGAGAAAAAAAATGAGTAGTTAGAGTTTATCCCATGGTTCAGCTGTGGAGTTGTATTCCCGGTGTCAACTTAATCAATCCTCACTCAATGCCTTCGACAAGTGTCCACCCCATTTAACACTGGCTACGATTTCTCACTACAGATGGCTTTAAGATATCCATCCAGTAGCAGTGAGCTGGAGACTCGTGGGTTGACGAGTCCTGAACTGGGACGAAATAGTTGTCGAGTGGTTTCTTCTGGTTTTTAATGATCGCTTTCTCTAAATGATATTGGAATTACAGTAATATCCAAAGTACCCACAAATCTCATTATCCATTTGTAATAATTTATGAATTGAAAAAAAAAATTAATGAGATACGTATTTAAACTAGGTATATGTGGTCCAGGGTTCGATTTCCGACCGACCTAGTTTCTCTAACCTTGGTTGTAATTGGTAGGATGCCTGGTAAAGCCGGAGGGATGGGTGTGTTTGAGGTTAACAAGAATAACACTACTCTGTTCTACTGAGATTTTAGAACTCAAGCTCGAAACGCTTTATTCCAGAAGCCAATGGGATCAATTTATGAAGTATCTGGCTGTTGGTGGTTTTAGCCATCTGTATGGGGTTGAGATCCTCTAAGGATCAAAGGGTTGACACTATTGCATGACTCAGAATCGTTTTTAACGGTACAAAGGTGTGTTCACACCTTATAGGAACTAAGACATCTATGAATTGTGCTTATCATTCACTCTCTGTTGGTTCCTTTTGTGTAAAGTTCCACACTGAAAGATCAGATCAAGACATGATACCTTACTTATGATCTGATTGTAATTTTCATTGAATAATATTCAGTAGCTATGGTGGCATATCAGTTATTGTGTTTAGTTGAATTTAGATTTTCCTGTCGATTTATTGGATCGAATTGTTGGGTTTCAGATTGACATGTCTGTCGGCTTCATGTGCAGATGCTTCGACGATGTTTGGGCATTTAGTTGGAATTTAACTGGTAGATGGTGACTAGCAGTGAAATCCACCAGGATACGCATTTCGTCCTATTTGGGACTCGTCACTGGGCGGACCTCTGCATTCCGCAGTGGGTAATGATCTTCCCACCGGGGCTCGAACCCAGTGCCTGTAGTTTCGAACGCCAAACCGTTGTCCACTAGACCACTTGGCCCAAGTGGTGGTCTAGTTGACGAGTTCCAAAATAGGACGAAATGCCCATTCTTGATTCCACTGCTAGTCACCATCCACCAATTAAATTCTAGTTATTGTGTTTATTTGTAAGACTATTATAAATTGGAGTTGATTAACTGTCTTAGATACAGGTTATTGAGGTTAGCTAGTAATTTTTTTTCACGGTTGAGTTATAGATTGAGTAGTTTGTGATCAATATACTTGTTTTTCTTGAACTCACAAAAAAGTAGTGAACTTTGCCGAGTCTTTTTAAATTTACCTTGATCCTGGTTATCTTATGTTGCCGTAGTCTTCTTTTATTCCATTCAGTCATATGGTAGTATTTTCAAAGGTCTAGCAGATAGATAGATATTTTGCTAAGCGTGAATTTCTCGGTGTAAGCTAGTGTGTTGTATATTTTCTCTCCCTTCGTTTTAACTGTTTATGGTGTTTTCCTTCACCATTCCTCTGCGTTCCGAAGTTTCAGCAGCTGTGGTCTTGTATTTTTACGCACTGGGTTCGCTAAGCTTTACGTCCAACCTTTTGTCTCTTTGAAGACTTATCTCTCACCAGAGGAGGGAGCAGTAATGGAATCCCGAACCACTTGCGAGGTTGGCGGACATTCTACTGAGGCGCACGTTCAAATGAATTAAGTAGGGATGGGAACAGAACTCAGACTGTTTGGCTGAAATCAACTTTCCTCAGCTGCACTGTTGTTCAGGAGATTACTTGTCTCTTGTGTAAAATTTCATATTGAAGAGTTCAGCTGTAAGATTTCTGTCGTAATTGGCTTCTCTATTTCCAGCGGAGATGTGAGTTATTGGCTGAAGTCCCCGACTCATAACCAATAGTTCTTGTTCTACTTGTTTCAACTTGGGCAAGTTGGTAGCGTCACCTGACGTCACACACCAATGCGCAGTGATTGTGTGGCGTTTAGCGTGGTACATGAAGAAAGTCTGGTTCAAGCAACTGAGCTCAAACTGTAATTCTTATACTCCCTCATCGCATTCAATTTATGAGAATTATTCGTAGTACTTGCTGTTAACATTACATAAGACAGAAGAGCACAGCTTAATGCCTGTTTAAGTTGGCTTTTCGAATTATGTCTGTATTTAAATAGTATCGCAAGTTACGGTCGACGCAAGTTAAATTGGGATGTACAATTCTCAGGATCGTCATTTTCTAATCCCCCATCCAGTAGAACCACTTTGCCAACAACCACCCACTCAACGATTTACACTATGTTGGTAACTGACCGCTATTTAAACAACCTTTCTGGCATGTTATTACCTACAGTAATATTAGTTTCAGCTCGGTTGGGTCACCACCCGTATACTAGCTTGACTGCCATATCGAGGTAGCTCCTATCGAAACCGATACATGTAATAAGAGTCTTCCTCCTAGGTGTTCGCGTATTCTCTGTCTCCAGACTAACTACTAGATATGTGTGTATAGGTGAAAGAAATTTATAAAGCACAAAATAATTGAGCAAAGAATATCCTTTTCTATAATTTCCTCCTCTGGCTCTACAATTATATATACATATGTTTATATACATAGAATATTCTAGATTAGTAGTCAATAACAATATTAGTGTTTTTAAATAATAATATCGATTTGTGAAGTAAGATCACAATGGAATTACAGTTCATTAAAGATGCTTAAATTATTATAATAATGATAAAGACATTATAGCGAATAGAATATCAACTAAAATTAAGGAAATTTCTACAAAAAATTGAGAATCATGCCATCGCAGATGGTCAAGGTAAGGATAATGTCTGTACTAACTTGTTTTGGACGCACAAATTAGGTTTCTTAATGTGGATCCAAACAACCATCCTCAGCAATATGTAGCAGACGAACGTTTAAGGCAAAGTTAAGATTTGTTGGTTGGGATGCGGTAAATGACTTTGAAAGCCGCCTCGTTAACATCAATCTTGTGTCCTGCTGTATCTACAAGATGAGATAGAATAGCGCTATGTGAATAGATTTTGTTTGTCTTTTACTTAACCAACCACTCTGGGTGATGTTCGGAGATCTGACGAGAAACACGCCTAATTATACGGCCTAAGCAGCTAACTGGCTCCACAGGAGCAGTTAAATTGGTAGATACACATGGAAGAGGCGAAATTAGGCAGTTTATCTTTTACTCCCGAACGCAAAATAGGAGTGGTTTTGAAGAAAAAGCATAATTCAGCAGCAGGGAATGCTCTTTTCACCGCATTTCTAAGGCATTGTGTTAGTGTCTCGCTGATGTTGTCCCGGAGGAACTGCATTTGTAAGAATAAGGTCTTTTTAGGAACTGTTGGTACCTTTTGCTGCTTTCATTTTAGATTCATATTCTTATCAATAAACTTTTCAGGACAACCATTTTCACTTAGCAACCGTTTAATATTGCTAAGTTTCTCATGAAGACATTCATCCGAGCAGATTGCTCATGCTCTGTGGCAGACTAAGCACTTTATCAGATTGCGTTTGTATTTTAAGGACACGAAGCTGTAAAAATGAGTATACTGACCGTTTAGTTAGTTAATGTCGGTTTTCCATATACACTTCTTATTGAATGTAACATCCTCTTTTCTGGTCATAAGGACGTCTAGAAATGAAATACTAGAGTCTTTTTCTTTCTAAGTGGTAAAATTTATTTCAGGATGAACCTCGTTAAATTTATCCAGAATTTTCAAGTGTTGGTTTATAGGGATTTGATTGGTTACAGGATTTTCATCATGAGCTGACATCAGTTAGTGAACCATTGAAAAACCTGAGAGTACTGGGCAGCTGTTTCGTCCTAGTTTGGGACTTCTCAGTAGTACGCACCCACCGGGATTCGAACCCAGGATCAACACTTGAATATCAATGAGATGCTCACTAGCGACTTGCCCTATTCAGGTAGGCAGTTACCTGGGGTTCTAGGGAGAAGTCGTGACCAGTAGGGTGCAGCAGATCGGGTGTCAGGACAAATACTTGCCGAAGACATTGGCTAGGGTTCGCGGTATTTCGTGAATTGGCAGAAGTTAGAATTCATGGACCATTGGATCGGGTCCCAGTGGCTTAATGGTA